TCCCCTGCGGATTTGTCATTTTTCTTATAATACGATTTAAATAATATTCATAGTCTAGGCTTTCTGTGACTCTCATCTCCCTTGGTCAGGGAAGAGTTAAGATTGACTTTTATGTGTGTGTCGTTGTTGTTGTTGTTATGTACTGTCAAGTCAGACCCGATCATAGTGACCCCTCCTTGGGTTTCCAAGGCAGTATCACTAAGGAAGTAGATTGCCCCATCTTCCTTCTGAGGAGTGGCTGGTGGGTTTGAACCGCCAGCCTTCTGGTTAGCAGTCAAGTGCCTTAGGCACTACGCTACCAGAGCTCCTGTGTCATTGTTAGCAAGGTAAAATTGAAGCAAGTGAGGGAGACAGAGGAAAAGCAGAACATAAAATGATGCTAGGAATGAGGGTTTGCCTTAGAAAACAGCATCATTCCTTTCAGATAACCAAAGTTATTTGAAATAATTGTGATCATGAGGCAGTTTTCTAGCATTGGTAAGCAACCTTGGGACCCATTTTTCTTGCTTGAAAGTTAATGTTATTATTTATAAGATAAAAGCAGGTTGACAGCATAAATTTTCTTCATTTTCCAGAAAGTGTACTTTCTGTGCATAGTAGTGGCAAGTTAATAATAATACTCTTGTTCTTTGTTAAGTCATTCCTTGGAATAAAGCTTTTGAATCCACAGCCTTTTGCCATACATACTTCTGAATGATATTTTTCTTCTTTGAAGGCTGTTTGCTGCTGCTGTCATTCGGTGCTGTTGGGTCAGTTTTTTACTCTGATGCATTTTGAGGAGGCTACTCCTTCTCTGTGTGATGCACTTGTGCCATGCACCGTACAAGATCTGGGGAACGCTCTAGCTTTGTCAACTAAGTGAAGCCAGGCCCAGAGTCTGAGAAACATAGATTGAGTTAGAAACATGGAACAGTGCCCAAAGCAGGGGCTGTGTCATTGGTTTGGGCCACTAGGCCAAAGCTTATTTGTTGGAATGTCATCTTGAACTCCAGGAAAGGAGGGAAATGAAGGATCCTCATGTTCCAGCCTTGTGATGGGGGCATCAATGTCAGGGTACTTGAAAGCATAGTTAGCACTGTGGGACTCATCTCAGCCTCTGGGGGCATGGTGTCTAGGCTTCCTCACTTAGGGAGCTGCAGGCTCCAAAATCAACACCTGGCTTTGACTGTGTAGGTCCAGGCCAGCGTGGAGTAAACTGGGAGGTTAATAGGAAAGTCATGCATCATTTGAGAGCTTGTGTGATCATTCTGTAAGCAGTTAACTAGGAGCCCGTTGATGCAGCTGCAGATCCATATCTCATTGCAGGGCCTTCAGTTTGCTTTTTTCAGATTCATAGGATGTATTCTGCATGTGGCTTAGGCTGGGCTAAGAGTTTCAAAAGAGATGTATAGTGTGTTAGAAAATTGTGAGGGCTGCCTTGACTTTCCAGTGAACATAATGGAGTGATTAACAGTCTGCTCCTTCCCCCTAATTGCATGGTGGTGTATTGTGGTGTGTTGGTGTAGGGACAGAGTAGCAGCTCAGGGTGATCATTATTGTACTTAATAAAATTACAGTGACTACAAAATTAGTTGATTGAGTTTTTTAGTACGTAAATATTCTTTTGTCGTCTGCCTGCTCCTCTTCCTACTGCAGTCTCATCCATGTGCTGCCAGTGTCTGTTACAGACAGATTTGCTATAGACAATGGAGTTGCCACACAAAAGAGAGAAACCATGCTGGACCCAGAAATGAACCTGTGATACATGCACACTTGATTGATGACAAGGCAGGCACCACAGAGCAGATGGGGAAAGATAACCTTTTCAGTAAAGGGTGCTAGACAGTTGGGTATCTGTACGAACAACTTAACCTCTGTTTCAGATCATACACAAAAATTAATTCGGGTGGGTTGTAGATCTCAGTGTGGAAAGCAAAACATAAAGCTTTCTGAAGATAATACAGTATCTCTTCCTGACCTTAGCATAGTATATCTTCCTGACCTTAGCTTAGCAGATTTTTTTTAGAGAGGATACAAGAGCACTGGTTGAGAAAGGAAGACATGACAGACTTGGACTGAATTAAAATCAAGGACTGCTCATCAGAAGACATCATCAGGAGAGGGAAGAGTTATGCCAGTGTGCGTGTTTTCACTGCAACACGTTAAATTGAATTGTATGGCTTGGATCTGGAATATAGAACTCTTACGAAGAGAAAGATTGATAAACCAGTAAGAAAGAGAGTTAAGATTTTAATAGGAATTCCCAACAGGTGATATCCAAATAGGCAGCAAACTTTGGAGAAAGTGTTCAACCTCATCAGAAATCCAAGAAATGCAAACTAAGCCACCACAAGTTGTCACTACACACCCATTAGGATGGCTAAGATTAAAGAGTGATTAAATCAACCAAGTTGGCAAGGGTGTGAAGCAACAGGAACTGGCACTGGTTTGTAATTGGAAGTATTGTCAGTTGACCTGGCTGCATTGGTAAACCACACTCCAGTGGCATTGTCTAATGGCATTGACCGTAGATGTATTTATTCCCTTTTAATCCAGCAGTCCCACTTCTAGCAACAATTCCAGCAGAAGTATGTGCACATTGTGGGAGGCTGAAAATGTCCCCCAGAATATGTCAGACTCCTGGCACCTGTGAGTGTTAACCTCATTTGAAAAAAAGGCTCCTTGCAGAAGTGATTAGGCTAAGGATTCTGATATCCATAATCCTGGATTACCTGGTGGACCCCAGCTGCCCTCACAAGTGTCCTGTAAGAGAGGCAGTGGGAGATACAGAGACGGGGGAGAGACGAGTGACTTCCTGAAGCTATTAGAGGTTGAAAGAGACAAGAGCAGATTCTTCCTTTGGGGGGACTGTGGCTCTGCTGACACTTCAGTTTCAGACCCTGAGCCTGCAGTACTGTCAGAGAATAAATTTCACTTGTTTGAAGCCACTAGGTTTGTGGTAATATGTCATAGCAGCCACCAGGAACTAATATTCTCATGGGCCCTGGGAAACAAGAATGGTTACAGAGGCATTATTGGCAGTGGTCACAGACTGGAAGTGACTCGGAAGCTCACAGAGTGGCACAGTGAAATTTTACACAGCCCCAAAAAAAGAAAAAACAAAACAGTACAACAACATGGACAAAGCCCCCTGTGGTCTGTGGGATTGGGTGAACCTTTGGGCTTTGCCTTTGGGCCCCGCCTCAGCCCCTGGAACCCTACCCTTGTAGCACCTTCAGGAGTCTGGTTAGGGTTAGTGTTTGTACCCCTCTGCGTAAATTGTCCTTTCTCTTCATCTTTTGCCCCTACCCCCACACAGGCACGGCTTCTTAGCCCCTTCTTCATTGTAGCATTGTGGGTCCTTGTTTTGGTTTTCTAGTGCTGCTATGACAGAAGTACCACAAATGGATGGCTTTAACAAACAGGGGTTTATTCTCTTACCGTTTAGGAGACTAGAAGTCCGAGTTCAGAGTGCCAACTCTAGGGGTTGGGTGAAAGCCCCTCGACCTTGGGCTTCAGCTCTGTCTCTTGCCCCTGGCCCACTGAAGCTGGAGGCTTGTCTTAGACAGCTGTTGACTGCGGAGGCTGACAAACTCAAGGGCAACAAATAAAACAGCACAGTCCCAAGATTATCACACAATACGGCAAGCCACTAGTTCAAGTCCAGAGACAGTCCCAAGGTTGGCAGATAACATGGCAGGCTGCCGAATGAAGACTTGGCTACATACAGGGTCTAAGTGTGCCAAAAAACTGTGGAGACCTTTCTCAAAGCGTCTTATGTACTGGAAGCAGATCACATCCTTGAGGCAGCTGCTTGACTGCTCACAGTAGATTCCGCCATGGAGTTGATTACTGGTCTCATCATGGGGAATAACTACATCCAGCTGCCCAGCCAAATTAACACACAACTACCACTCTCCCCTTTAGAATGTCTCCCCTAAGCAGGCAAGCCCCTCAGGTCACTGCCTTCAGTGTAGCACAGTCTGTGAGACACAGTGAACACACTTGGGTAAAATGAACTCCACTTAGTGGGGCTCAGAGACCCAGACTGGCTTTCACTGTAGGACATGGCTTTTTCTTGTGTGTTAATTTAATAAGTAGGTTGCGTGATGCGAAGACATTCTCTGAATCTGTAAGTCTATCTGAATAGGAGCAGTATGTTAGGGGTACCTAAGAACAAGTATCAGTTTTTAATACAATCTTTATGGAGGGAGCGCTCCATACAGAAGGGCTCTGGTGGCCCTCTATAGCTCCCTCCATAAAGATTACAGCCTTGGAAACCCTATGGGGCCCTACTCTGTCCTCTAGGGGCACTGTGAGTCGGAATCGACTTGACAGCAATGTGTCTGGTTTTTTTATTCTGTTTCTATTTAGACAAGACATCAGATCCTATGTTTTGACTAGAAGAAGAGTAAAAGCTGACTAAGCTGAAATCAGAGACTGATTAAGCAGACCACCTCATCTTTCTCCTGTGGAGCAGCTGGTGGGTTCAAACTGCTGACCTTTTGGTTAGCAGCCAAATGCCTTTACCATTGTGCCACCAGAGCTCCTTGGAAACAGAATAGCTATCATGAATGGGAATTTTGTAGGGCCTCAGGGTCAGTGTGTGATCTTATATTTTGAAGTATAGGATATGTTTAAACTTTTTTTTTCGTTTTCTTTTTGACCTTTTTGTTTTGTTTTGAACTCTTAAGCTTTTGTTGATGATAACTTCTTCTAAAAGTTTAGTGCAGGAAAACATCCTGGGCAGTCGAATTCTGGTCAGTCTAGTATGTTTATTGCACATCTGCTTGATACTAAGTATCAAGAAATGGGAAGGGGTAAACTGATGAACTATCTGAACTGTACCAAGTGGGCTTGCTGCATACACTCTGTAGGAAGGGATGACATGTGTGCCATTTACTGTGGTGCCGGCTGCCAGGAATGGGCCTAGTGGTTAAAACAGGGCTTGAGGTGTGTTCTGCTGTTGACCTCTTGGGAATGGGCGGGTCCAACCAAGCCATTTGTTTTGTCTCCAACAGGCTCGTGGGTGGAGCTGCACTTCAGCAATAGCGGGAATGGAAGTGGTATCCCAGCCTCGGTTTCCATTTATAATGGTGATCTGGAGAAAATACTGCTGGATGCCCAGCATGAGTCTGGACGGAGTAGCTCCAAGAGCTCCCACTGTGACAGGTGAGGGGCTAGCCTCTGGTGACAGTGCACATGCTGGCTTCCTGAGGAGACAGGCCCACGTTCAGTGCCTGTGGGATCTGTACTGATGGTGGGTTTCTTCTCTGTAGGTCATGTTAGAGTTGTCCTTGCACTGTGGTGGGAGGATGTGACCTGCAGCCGGGCTGAGGCCTAGCAGCAGGCAACACGGCCCACCGGTCGTGTCCCGTCACGTCAGCAAGCTTTAAGAGGTTGGGTGTCCCGAACCCCAAGTCTGAGACACTCCCTCACGTACCTCAGCAGTGCGGGTTGCCATCGGGGTGGGTGCGTCCGGTTGGTAGCACTTCCAAGTGATCAGAACCCAAGCAGCATGGTTGAGAGGGCCAAGGGTCAGGCTTCTATTAAATGGTGGTGATGCCGTGGGCTGGGTAAACCGGCCCCTTATGGGTAGTTGTGTCTTTTCCCTGGTAGATGGGCTGGTTGACTCCTGTCAGGCTTGGCTGCAAACAGTAGAACCGTCAGAACGTGAGGAATGCACTGGTCCTTGCCAGGTGCTGGGTGGGAGTGGAGTTGCCACAGGACCAGAGCCTCCCTGTTCCCTGAGGGGACATCTCCCTGCCTTTGGGGTTGTGGCGTCTAACAAGGTCTTCTGCTCTTCCCCACTTGTCCATGCGGCTCTAAAGTCCGCCTCGCTCACAGACACCACAGGATACGAATAGAGCTGAGACAGATGCCCACAGCATTGGAGAAAAGAACAGCTCGCAGGTGAGGCGGGGCCGGGGGGGGGTGGGGAGCACTCGCAGGTGAGCCCACGTGGGCACTTATTGTCCATTTCTTCAGTGGTGCTTCGAATGGAATGGAGTCAAGTTTGGGTTTGAGGGGCTCTTGTCTTTCTGTTTTATAACTGTGTAGAATGGAGACATCCCCCAAACATGGGCTTCATGTTGCGCTCAGGGCAGGACACGGAGTGGGTCCCTCCTGGCTCCCAGTGTCCCCACAGCTACCTGGGGTTATAATTGGGTGGTGGTGGTGGGGGTCCTCTTGTATGGTGTGGAAGAGTGGGAAGCTGCTGCAGGAAGGTAAGTGAACAGGTGACTGTGTGCTTCTCTTGGCTGTCGATTGGCTGGGTTTTGGTATCTGAAAGCTCTTGGGTGAGCCCTGCATTAGCCAACCTACATGGCCTCTTGGGGCCACTCTACCATGGTGCCTGGGATTTGATTCTTGGGGTCCCTTCTTACTAGGCCTTGCAGTTACTTGCCAGAAACTACAGCTAGGCCTTTCTTAACATCCAGTGGCTATCTGGTGCTTAGGTGGTTATGGGCTAGTGGCTAATGGCTTGGTTACTTCCACATTTGAAACTGTTTTTCTAACGTTCACTCAGAAAGCATTGTCTGAGTGTTTTCTTCCTGTCAAGCTTGTAGCTAGTGGTGGGGCCCCCAGCCTCTGAGGGTGGTGTTGCGGCAGGCCTGCTGCTGTGCCTTCAGTATTCTGTTTCCCTCCCGACAGGAGGCGGAGGAGCTGTGCTGCGTCCACTCACCTCTCCCCAGTGGTGCTTCACACAGCACTGTAAACACATAGTCAGGGTCCCTCCATGTTCATTCAGCGGCAGCCCTAGGGAAGCACAGGTTCATGGTCAGTGCTTCACAGCCCCTCCTGTGCTGTGTTCCTCGAGGCCTGAGAGCAAGGATTATCAGGCATAGGGATCGGGACCAGCAGCCCTGTCCTGGGAGGCAGATGTCAGGTGGATCACTGGCTTCCCGTGTCCCCACAGCTCTGCTTCTCTGCAGGGTTTGAGAATTCGTTGCAGCAGCCACACAGAACTCACAGGCCTCTCTCAGAGTTGCGTGGTGTATTAGGAAGGTATAGGTCACCTGGAAGCACTCAGGTGGCTCCAGAGGGTCCCTGAGGTGGAGGCCACACATGCCTCCCTTTTTCAGTGCAGGTCAGGTCAGGACAGAGGGTTCCTGGAGCAGACGAGTCATCCATTGGGACATCTCCAAGGCAGCTCTCTCAGCTAGTGCTCTGTCTTCCTCCGGTGGCCAGTGGGTGACTGGCCTGGCTCACAGCCACTGTGACAGCTTTGGGACCACACGGCTCCCACGGGGCTCTGCTTCTGTGCCTTCCCAGCTCCTAGGCAGCAGCTTTCTCTCTAGACCAAGAAGTCTCTCAAGCCCATTTCAGCCACTTTATGTCCTCATCTGCAGGTCTAGGTGGGGCTGCTTCACCAGACCAGAGTTCAGCCAGTCTTCAGTTGCCCAGGACACCAGTGGTCACTCAGGTCTTCTCATGACCAAAAGTACCAAGCCATCCAGTCATTTACAGCTTACTCAGGAAACTCAACCAACCCTCCTGGGCAAAAGTCACAAATGCTGTGGGGTAGAAAAGAACTGGGGAGCCCTCCTCACCTCTGGTTGCTGATGCAGAGAACTTAGGGCATTGGTAACAACTCCTCAGGGCTAAGGGGAGAACCTCCCAAGCTGTTTTTCCAAAGAACCAAGGCAAGTGGCCACTTAAATAAATTTGATGGGTATGCCACAGCCTGTGATGCAAGGGAAGCGGGGAGTCCTTGCTCTCACCGGTCTCCTGGAGCATGCTGCCCTGCCTGAGCAGCCAGGCTCCGGAAGCATGCAGAGCTCACTGGGTGGCTGTTGGCCTGGGGGCTGGAGCCCTGCCATGATGTCCAGGCAGGGGCCAGCTGCTTTTGGCTGTTGGGCTTTAAGACTGGCCTGGTGCACATATTTGATTGGTTTTGGTACTGTATTCTAGAAATTTTTTAAAGGTTTTCCCCTGACTTAATTATATGGTTAGGTGCAGAATTTTGAAAATGAAAAAGGTGAAGAACACCCATAATCCCACTTCTAAAGACAGTCCTTTTCACAAGTGTATTACATTGTCTGTTAGATAACTTTTAACATGCATCTGACACCAGATGTATATGTAAATTTTTTGCTTTTTCTTCCCACTTTGACATGAACGTAATTATCCTCTTGAACTTGCCTGTGTTCCATTTACTTAGTAGGTGCCATTGAGTTGCCGAGTTGGCTCTGACTCATCGACCATAGATAAAACAGAACAAAACACTGTCTGGTCCCACATAACCTCACAGTCAGTGCTGTGCTTGAGCCCATTGTTGCAGCTGCGGGTCAGTCCATCTCATGACGGTCTTCCTCTTTTTCACTGACTTTGCCAAGTATGATATCCTTCTCCAGGGACTGTTTCCTCATGGTAACATGTCCAAAATAGGAGAGATGAAGTCTCACCATCCTCACTTGCAAGGACCATTTGGGCTATTCTTCTTCCAAGATAGATTTGTGTGTTCGTCTGTGGTATATTCAGTATTCTTTGCCAGCACCATACTTCAAAGGCACCAATTCTTCTTCAGTCTTCCTTATTCATTGTCCATCTTTTGCATGCATATGAGGCAATTGAAAACACCATGGTTTGGATCAGGCACACCTTAGTCTTCAAAGTGACATCTTTGCTTTTTTACACTCTAAAGAGGTCTTTTGCAGCATATTGGTCCGATGCAATATATTTCATTTTGTTTTGTTTTATTCTTCGTCATTGGATTTCTTGACTGTTGCTTCCATGGGCATTGATTATGGATCCAAGTAAAATGACATCCTTGACAACTTCAGTCTTTATTTATAATGATGTTGCTTATTGGCCCACTAGTGAGGATTTCTGTTTTCTTTATGTTGAGGTGTAATCCATACTATAGACTAGTGTTTGATCTTCATCAGTAAGTGCTTCAGGTCTTCATTTTCAGCAAGCAAGGTTGTGTCATCTGCACATCGAAAGCAGATTTGTTAATGAGTCTTCTTCTAATTCTGATGCCTTGTTCTTCATATAGTCCAGCTTCTCCAATTACTTGATCAGATTGGATAAGTTTGATGAAAGGATATAGCCTTGATGCACACCTTTCCTGATTTTTAACCACACAGTATCCCCTTGTTCTGTCTGAACAACAACCTCTCTGTCTCTGAACAGATTCTGCATGAGCACGATCGAGTGTTGCAGAGTTCCATCCTGTGCGGTGTTACCCATAATTTATCATGATCCACATAGTTGAGTTCTTTTTTTTTTTTTTTTTTTTTAACTTTAAAGTGGACATTTTCACGTCTCCTCCCCTAAATTTTAGAAATGTGAAACCAGGCAGGGATGTCAGATGTCTCCAGGATATTGTGATATCATTGTATTCATTTTAAATTGATAACTGTATGATTCACCAAAGTTGGGTTTTTTTTTTTTTTTTTT